TCACAGATGTAAAAAAATATCACTGTCACAAATTAAATCACTTCTTCAAGGGTTAAGACCGTCGCTAAAATACATTGGGGGGGAGGGGAGAGGCGGGGATTGATGAAAGAAAACAGAAAATGACACAATTAGATTTTAATTAAGAAAGAAAAAATTAATAAAAGACGGGTCAGGAGGGGGTGCGGGGTGGGGGTACGTGGGATAGTCCATCACAGATGTAAAAAAGTATCACTGCAAAAAAACGAAACAAGGGATGTTCTCATCTGTGTCTGGGCCGTGCGACCAGCGAGCGACTCACGTCAGAGTGTGACAGCAGCGTGTTGAAATCCTCCAGGAGGTTGGTGTTGCAGATGCGAGAGCTGAGGACGTGGAGGGGCCGGTCACCACACTCGGGCCGCGGCCACTGGGTCACCTCGCTGTCTTCTAGCCGAGAGTTACACTGTGGGCAAAATACAAGGATAGTTACACTGTGGGCAATAGATACACAGAAATATAGGATAGTTACACTGTGGACAATATACAAGGATAGTTACACTGTGGACAATATACAAGGATAGTTACACTGTGGGCAAAATACAAGGAAAGTTACACTGTGGGCAATATACAAGGATAGTTACACTGTGGGCAATATACAAGGATAGTTACACTGTGGGCAAAATACAACTATCATACACAGAAATATAGGATAGTTACACTGTGGACAATATACAAGGACAGTTACACTGTGGGCAATATACAAGGATAGTTACACTGTGGGCAAAATACAAGGATAGTTACACTGTGGGCAATATACAAGGATAGTTACACTGTGGGCAATATACAAGGATAGTTACACTGTGGGCAAAATACAACTATCATACACAGAAATATAGGATAGTTACACTGTGGACAATATACAAGGACAGTTACACTGTGGGCAATATACAAGGATAGTTACACTGTGGGCAAAATACAAGGATAGTTACACTGTGGGCAATAGATACACAGAAATATAGGATAGTTACACTGTGGACA